AAGGAAATCAATACTTTATGGCATTATGCTTTTTCATTTCATAACATAATATAATTTAATTCGCAGATTTTTTGAAAAACCATTTTTTACCTTTTGATTCCTATTGTAAATTGTTACACTAGTAGAAATTCAATTGAATGTTCAGTCGTTGTTCCCAAAACCTGGAAGATCCACTAATAGCAACAAATATATACTACACATAAAAAACATATACATACATTTTTTTTGAGATATGCAAAAATGAACAAAAAATTTGGAAACGTGAAAAAACAATTTTTTTTTGCGATTTCAATAACTCACCATGAGTAGGAATTATGTGTACCCAGAATTCTGTATATACGGTTATCTTAAGATATCCTGAAAGGTATATACGCCATGTGTAAAAGTCAAAAATATTTTTCAAAATTTCTTTGAGAAACCAATTTATATGGTTGAGATGATGCAAATCTGCGAAAAACATGTAAGATTAGTAAGAGGTTTTTTATTTATCGAACTCAACATTTATAACCACTTGAACCGTTGGTTTAAGAAACCTTATTTTCTTGCAGAACCATTCAATATATAGATCTATGTAACCCCTATTTATCTATATTCTACTAGTCCATTAATGACTTAAAGCTATGAATGCATATAGTACATAATGTTTGTACTTACAGATAAATGTTAATCTTATAGGGTTCCTGTACAATGAAATTGAATTCTACTACTGAAATGATGCCATGCTCGTTTCAACATTTCACAGAAGTGCATCCATTCGCACCACGCGAGCAGGCTGCAGGATACCACTTCATGTTCAAAGAGCTTGAGAAAGACTTGTGCGCCATCACGGGATACGATAGAGTTTCTTTTCAGCCAAATAGGTGAAATACAATCAGTCCATAAATCATCTCGAATATTGCATTATTTTCCATTTTTTATTTGAATTTTCTATACTTTCAGCGGTGCCCAAGGTGAATATGCTGGCTTAAGAGCAATCAAAGGTTATCATGAATCCTTAGGTGAGGGGCACAGACACATATGTTTGATACCCGTTTCCGCCCACGGTACTAACCCCGCCTCGGCTCAAATGGCTGGCATGAAGGTACTTCAACAATAATATTAATAATATTTAGCTAATTCAGAAGAAAAATATAAACTAGTGGGGCGCATGGCATCGTGCCTTAAGGAAAATTGCTGGAACTTCCCGTATCAAAAATTATTATTTTTTTAAAAACTATTAACATTTTTGAAAAAATTTTACTTTGAAAAAATTAGATTTTTGAGAAACTATAAATTTGACAAAAAATTACTTTTTTTGAAAAAAAAAATTATTAAAAAAAATGTTTTCTTTTTTGACATATTTTGGAAATTCTGAACTTTTTTTCAAAGCAATCTTATTGCTTTAACTGCATAGAGACGAAATGTCAAAGCGCGTAAGCGCCGCGTTGCCGTCTAACGGATTAACATTGGTACGGTACCCATAGGAATGTAAACAAAATTTATACTTATTGTTAAAATCTCTATAAAATATCTGATAATTTGATGTGAACAACATTTTTAACTAACATTTTTTTTACTTTTTTCATTAGATCTCTGAAACCGCTAGACCTGCCTTCGTGAAAATTAATCAATTTTTCATCTTGTCAATACAAGTAAAATGTTTTTTGAATTATTAAAATCGGACGCTCCGTTCTCTTAAAAACTGAGTTACCATTTTTGGCACTTTTTGTCCCGTATCTTCGGAACGGCTAAGCCTACTTTTGCCAAAAACTAATCAGCACGTCTCCTTATCAATACGAATCGAATGTTTTTTGAATTATTCAAATTGGTTGATCGGTGTTCCTGAAATCGTCGACGAAAATTTGTATCCGCACACACACACGCACACACACACCACACATACACACACTACACCACACACACACATCCATTTTTTAAGGTATGCCAAAATACTCAGAAACCTTTGAAACGTAAAGATATATAAAAAATTTCATTTTTGATTTTTTTGCGATTGCTATAACTTGCTCTACGGGAAGTTAATTATATTTCATCAGACAAAAATACCAATCTAAAGCGTTATTTAATAAAAAAAATCATATTAGACACCAATAATATAATTTCTATTGTGATATGAAATTTCTATCAATGTGAAATTCAATAAATCTATGAAGATGACTGATGATTTTATTTAGCAATCAATTTAGTTTTGATGTCTAATAAATGTTAAGTTTTTTTCGGAAGGTTTCAAAAATGTTGAAGATCCAATTATTTTTTGTTAATTTGTGCATTTTTCTTTTATACTAATCTTTAGTTGCTTTTCTTGCTTTGTTCTGATGGTCAGAGAAACTATGTGATTACTTGTATTTTGAAGTCACGTGTGAGTGTTTTAGGTGGAACCTATTAAAGTCACGTCGGATGGGCTAGTCGACTTAGATTATTTGAAGCAACAGCTAGAAAAACACAGCAAGAATATATCTTGCCTTATGATTACATATCCATCAACATATGGAGTTTTTGAGGAGACAATTGGCGAAGTTTGCCGTTTGGTGCACTTGCACGGTGGACAGGTATAAAATTTAAATAGACAGTGAGAAACATCGATTTTTAATAGTTATGAAATATAATTAATTTTGTGTCCAATTTTGTTGAAGGTTTACCTGGATGGCGCGAATATGAATGCACAAGTTGGATTATGCAGGCCCGGAGATTATGGCTCAGATGTTTCTCATTTGAATTTACATAAAACGTTTTGTATTCCCCATGGAGGAGGCGGCCCGGGTATGGGACCCATTGGCGTGTGAGTATTTTATATTAATAATTGTACACACACACACATATATATATATATATATATATATATATATATATATATATCGAAAATTATTCTCATCATTCAGAATTTTGATCAATTTTATTATATAAACAAATTTCCTAAGGCCTATTATATTTTAGATTTTTGTTAAGACCATGAAACTAATCATGGGCTTCACTAATCTCATTATTAAAATCGTAAAATATTTGATATGATTAATTTAATATGATTGAATTTTGAAAATTGGTTCAAGATTTTTGATGAAAACGTTAACGAAATGTTTTGCAATTTTCCGCTAATTGTATATTTTGCTGTCAAACGGGTCAGATAACTTGAAAAGTCGAGAAAACATAAAGAAACACCAAAAAGTTAAAAAGATAATTGTTACTGTAAAATATATTTGTATATATATACGATTTTAAACTGCAAATTCAATTGGATGCATGAAGGTCTCAGAAATCTAAAACGTGATAAAAATATCTATCTTATCTATCATAAATCTAGAGCAATAGATATATAAATGCAAAAATATATATCTAATAAAATCTCACTTCCTCGCGCGACATTATTATGTTTATTATGCATTATTATGAACATATTATGAATTACGTTTTGTTATTACAGCAAAAAGCATTTAGAACCATTTTTACCTAGTCATCCTGTAATAGACCCATTGGCAGATTGGGAAACAAAGCTAGTTCATTTGGTGTTGTAAGTGCTGCTCCATATGGATCTTCTTCCATACTTCCGATCAGTTGGGCTTATATAAAGGTACATTTTACAAATGTTTACCAGAATTAAGCATTTTTATTTTAATACTTATTTATTGCATATTATATGCATGTATTTCTTTACTGTTATTTGGTTGTAGACCGTGACATTTTTACTTTAATGATTTGTTATTTTTTGAGCTGCAGCTATTGTTTATTTTACCGTTGATCCGCGTTTTTTCTTAATGGACTAAAAATGTCATATTATGGTCTAACTTAAAATTTAATTACATATTTTTTTCTTTTTCTCGTAAATAATAAATTTCATAAATAGTTTTTGGTAAATCTCAAGTCATTAAAATTATTGTTAAAATAATATAAAAAATAATAATTAATATTTTAATTAATTGTTCAGATGATGGGAGCAGATGGACTTCGTAAGGCGACGCAAGTTGCAATACTTAACGCAAATATATGAGCAAAAAGCTCGAACCATATTATAAAACTTTATTTAAAGGTGATAAAAGCAACCTTTGCGCACATGAATTCATATTAGATGTGAGGGATATTAAGAAAACTGCGAATGTTGAAGCAGTCGATATTGCAAAACGTCTGATGGACTACGGTATGTACAATAATCGCACAAATTGCGATTCGATCAAATTGACAGGCAAAGAATATATAAATATTCTAGATACTTTTATAGCGGGTTTTTGTTAATACTTGTGATTGCACATTTCTACACTAGTAGCACCTTAAGGAGTAACACCACTGAAATAGCCCAAAAAACGTGTTTTGGGCATTTTTGGTGAAAGAAAAAGTAATAAAATTCTGATAGTAGAGCAAGTTCATTTGGTGTATATTAAATAGGAATAAAAATTATTATAACAAGATATTCAAAAATGAAGGCACCACTGCCACTTCTGCGAGACACGTAAAATTTGGATTTGCACGTAGAATTTAGATTTGCATAAAATGTTGATTTTTACGAAAAAGGACTTATATGAAAAATAATACTCAAAAACTAACCTTAATTTTTAATGATTAAATTAACATATCAAAAATTTCCTACGCACTTTTCTTCAAAACCTTATTTTAAAGAATTAGAACAAACAAATTTGAATGAAAATTGTTAGAGATTCATCAGCGTTCGGTATGAAAAATCGAGTTTTGAGAAAAACTTGGGTAAGAGTTCAAAATTACGAAAAAATAATACTTTGAGGTATGAGATATTTTTTCATATATTCTGAGTTTCAACTTTTTTAGACTAAAAAATCGTTTGTTCCAAACATTTACAGTGATAATGTGGCTCAATTAATAATTAAGAATTGATCAAGATCATAGCATCTATCATATATTATTAGTAGATAATAAATATTAAATTCGACAACATTTCGAACATTTAGATATTTATTGTAATAATATGCTTCAGAAAAATGTATTTTTAACCTAAGCACTTAAATCTAATAAGATATCGTTTTTATTTTATATGAATTATAACATTAGATATTGATAACAAAATTAATTAATAAATTCAAACGTTGAATAGGATTTCACGCACCTACCATGTCTTTCCCTGTGACCGGAACTTTGATGGTTGAACCCACAGAGTCGGAAGACAAGGAAGAACTCGATAGATTTTGCGAAGCACTCATATTAATTCGTAAAGAAATAGCATTAATTGAGGAAGGAAAATTAGATAGACAAAACAACCCATTAAAATTATCTCCACACACACAACGACAGGTTACAATGGAAAATTGGACAAGAAAATATTCAAGAGAAATGGCAGCTTTTCCAGCGGTTTGTTAATTTTAAACTAATAATTTAACTATAAATTTTCTTTAAAATTATTTTATGATTGGATAATTTATATATATATATATATATATATATATATATGTGTGTGTGTGTGTGTGTGTGTGTGTGATATGTGTATGCGCATATATTTGATATGAAAGTAATATATTTATTATTTACAGCCGTTTGTTAATCCGGAAACTAAAATTTGGCCAACTGTTGCCAGGATAGATGATATCTATGGAGACAAAAACTTAGTATGCACGTGCCCACCAATGTCATCCTACACATAAATTATTAATATTCAAACTAGAAAATTGCCACAAATTGAACATAATAATACTAAAATAATGCATACTTCAACATAAATCATAAAATGCTAATAGTAACAAATGATAAAATTTGGACCTACCACCATTATTTGTTGTGGAACTAATTGAAATTTATTAAGCATGCTTCAATCTCTCGTAGGTTTTTGATATGCGATAATTACTTATTTATTTTTATAATAAAAACAAATGTTTCTCAGAGTTTGTCGATTTGTTTAAATTTTACTATTTTCAGTCATGTTTTTCAATCATGTTGGATCGAAACTACCCAGTAAACAATACATGTTGCCGTAATGAAACTTGTGAGTTACAAAGTTATATAACAAATGTTAACTAAAATTTACATAAGCGCAATGTAACTTTGAGTTAGAAAGTTATATAACAAATGTTATCTAAGTGTAATATACGCGCAATATATATCGATAGTTACAATGTTACATAACAAATGTTAACAAAGTAAGTGTAATATACGCGCAATGTATATCAGGAGTTACAAAGTAATGTACTATTGTTACCTTATATAATAAATGTGCAATGTTTTGTTAGAAAATATTTTCCACAATTTTCTCGACGTTTCTAGTCATTCTGGGTCGAATTTGGAAATTTGAAAAAAGTATAAGTGTGTGATGTGAGCCGACTTTTTTCAAAAATGGCTGGGCCGATTTCAAAAATTTAAAAGCCATTTCATGAAACTCTATGACGACTTGCGTTGATTAGATTTTCGAGAACGATCGGCCAAGAATTAACAGAAAAGTGCTAAAAATTATGTCCACGAAAGTGATCCGTTAATCTTACGTTTTTATTTCAAACGAGACTGATGCTTAACTTAAGAATTGTTTCGATTTTTGCTACCCCGAGACCTCACGCGTCTTTATTTATAGATTATCTTCATTTTTTTTTTCTAAAGCAATAATTTTTGTATTTCATCTATATGAATTTGGGCATAACAACGCTTTTTGTAGTTTACACCAATATCGAATCGTTGAATTGATTAAATTTCATAGAGCTTACAAGTGTGTCTTGTAAGTGAATATTTATTATAAAATTGTCAAAAGTACCATTTGGTGATGTTGGTTGGAGATCTGACGTATTTTTGCTTTGCCGTAAATAGTTTTTCAAAAAAAATATAGTTGTTTAAAGTTTTTTATGTTTTTTTATAATGTCAATTTACTATATAGGAGATCTTAGATCTTTAATTCATGTTGTTGTTCTGGGATAACATGAGAAACTAACTTAAAAATCTTTAAAGACTTTTATAGCTTTGGAACAAAAATATTTATATATTTTCTTAACTATAAAATTTGGATTAAAATCCGATATCGATAATTATGTATAAATAATCTTACATTTTTTAAAACATTTATCTTTTTTATGAACTTTTATAATACTTTAAGTAATAAGTTACATATGAGTGACAAGTGTGTGTTATAGAGTTCCTCTAATACGAAAGTGTACAACCAAATATTCAACTAAGCACATAATTGCATCGATCATGCTGATTAGTTTTTGGTAAAGATCGGCCGGGCGGTTTCTTGTGATTAAATGTTAAAAATTTATTTTGTTTTTAATTAGAATTAACATGGTAACAGGGTTTATGTTCTAAAGAAACAAATATTCGAATATATATATATATATATATATATATATATATATATATATATATATATACACATCATATATATATACAGTAGAACCTCGATTATCCGGACCTCGGTTATACGGATTCGCGATTATCCGGACATAATCGCGTCGGAACTTGCATATTCTGATGTGCATATATACATTAATACATTCTCTGTTTTAACGTGCATACATACATTTTTAAAGGGTGGTGTTATCCCTTAAAGATAAAATAAATGTTATAGAATCATTGAAAAAGGCGAAACCGGCCGTAAGTTAGCTTATAGGTATGGTGTAGATATAGATACATCCACTATAAGCGATATTAAAAGAATGCCGATTCAATTTTGTCGTACACTTGCAAGTTAGATTGTAAAGAGGGTAGTGAAAATCGGAAAATGGTGAAGAGACCGAAAAATAAACTCTTAATATAATATGTATAATGTAATCTAAGTAAATATGTAAGTGTTAATTTTCTAATAAACATCGATTTTTATTGATATCTAGGTATGCATTTGTTATTTTTGATAAACAAAACATTATGCTTCATAATTTGGATTATCCGGATTTTCGATTATCCGGATGCCCATCGACAACAATTAGTCCGGATAATCGAGGCTCTACTGTATATATATATATATATATATATATATATATATATATATATATATATATATACGAAGCATGTGCTCCCACTGATTTTAAAACAGAGTTGTAGTTTCTATTCAATGCTATTTTTTTTTTTAATTTAAATTTTGGGCAGTATAGTAATACTGATTAAAAAGCTTATTTATCAATGTGTAATAATTTACTATATTCAATATTTAATTAAAAAATATTCAACATTAATATGCTCGAGATGAACATAAACAATAAAGAACTATATAATTTAAAATATCAAACACAATATCTATTATATGTCATTCATTTCTAACTTATATTAAAATAAATATAACAAAATTAATGTTCATGTAAATCAGGTTGTCGAAATCGTTGTTCTTTATCTTTGTTGCTAACATGTTCTTTTAGCAATTTCATAATGTTATTATCAAACTCATTTGGTACAGGCTTGTGTCCAGTCGCCCAATAATAAATATCCCAATCATTTAGTGGTAAATTTATGAGCTTATCATACTCTTCTGTTTCTTCTATTGTCATGCCATTCAAATATTTAGCTGCAAATGTGCTTAGCAATAAGCAGTTTTCTAACATTCCACGTTTGCGTGATTGATATAAAAGCCTGGCCTTTTTCTGGTTCAAAGATTCATCCCTTTTAATATTATACTGAGGGATTGGAGGCATTTTAGAGTCATCTACTTCCAATGATTCAAATTCTGGTGTCTTTGTTGCACATAACATTCGAAAAACAATGGGGACATTTTGAAAAAATATGCTTGTTCTACAATTTCTCGCAGCTATCATGGACATTGCTAATACTTCAAAAAATTAGTTTTCAACTAAAATAGAATAATATAAGTAACAAAAATGTTGGTCTTTCATTTAATAAAAGAACTCATAAAATAATGTCTCTCAGATAACTTTATTGAACATCTAAAAATCTTTAAAGAGAATGATATGTAGTGCAATATATTTTTCGAAATCGTATATATATATATATATATATATATATATATATATATATATATTCTTTTTCGAACAACAATTTACGATTAGAACTTTTAGTGGTAAAAATATTATCGAATAAAACTTATTATACTTCTGAATTTTAGAGTCCAATGTTTTTTATATATAATCATTTTCTAATTAATTTGTTTTACGAACCTGATCTACAAAAAGAAATATTGCACGGCCCAGAGATTTTGATTTTACATAACCTCGACTGACAAAACAAAACACTGACATAATGACAGGCTGACAGATGACAGTTGACAAACAGACATACTAAAATAGTTATACACAAATACATGCACATAGATAAGTACACATTTTGGTTATACACATAGATAAAGGAAGAGTATAAACAAGTATAAACATATTAGTATAAAACATACAAACATATTATACTTATTTATCTATGCATATTACTCTTCTTTTATCTAAGCATATTAGTATATTGTCTAGGAATGAAAAATCTGGATATGTGTGTGTGTGTGTGTGCGGATACAAATTTTCGTCGACGATTTTGGGAAGACCGATCAACCGATTTAAATAATTGAAAAAACATTCCATTCGTATTGATAAAGAGACCTGCTGATTAGTTTTTGGCGAAGGCAGGTCTAGCCGTTCCGAAGATACGGGGCAAAAAGTGGCAGAAACGGTACTAGCTTTAATAGATAAAAGAAGAGGATAGAGATCGCTTTTAAAATAACGGAGCGTCCGATTTTAATAATTCAAAAAACATTTTACTTGTATTGTCAAGATGAACTGATGATTAAATTTTTGGGAAGGGCGGTCTAGCGGTTATGGACTCTCAATAAAATAAGTTAAAAAAATGCTATTTGGTGGTCACAAATATTCATTAAACAAATTAAAGTAAATTTTTTTGGGTTTCGTACCAAGATTTTTAATTTTGAAGTTCATTTATATGGTTCAAACAAATATCCTCGACATTTTCGATAGTATGGAATACCCGATTTGTATCATTGAAAAAACATTCGGTTCGTACGCAAGGCATTTTTGCAAAAGGTACATCTTATCCTTCCGGAGATATGGAGCGCAAAGGGTGTAAAAATTTCATGCTGCTTTTGAAAGAACGGATCATCCGATTAGATTAATTCAAAAAACCTATTGCTTGTGTAGATGGTGTGCAAAAAATGGTTTTACAAAAAATTTCGTAGTTTTGAAAATTTTCAAAAAACTAACATTTTTGAAATTTTTCATAATCTGGAAATAAAATCTAAATTTCAAAAAATTTGAAAAATACCGAAATTTAAAAAAAAAGATTACTTACAAAATGTCTTTATAATAAATAATCTATTTGAAATTATTCAAAACAATTATTGATTATTTTTATTCCTCAAATTTTTAATTATGGTAGGGAAGTTTCAGCTAATTGCCTTAAGGCACAATGCCATGCGCCACTAGTTTTTTTTTCAAAACGATAATTTTATTCAATTGTCTGGAATGGGAAATAATCTCATCAACTGGCAAAAAATTATTCACTGTCAATTTCATTAATGTGGTGAACTTTAACTCACAATATCAATATATGCTCGATAATATATGAGAGTAATGTGGTCCCCTGAAATAGGCATAAATGAATAATATAACATATATTGTAGATCACATATTATACAAAAAAAAATCATTAAAGTTTGCGCATATTGTTTATTAATATGTATACTTAAAAAGGTACACAAATTGGTTATAAAAACAATTACTAAATATTCAAGTTATTGCAGTTACATTTGCACAGAAAACCATTTTCAGCCACAGATTTCACATCCTCAAATATATTAAATTTTTTTTGAAAATCATTTCATTTTACTTTATTATATCTAGTTTCTCCCTTTTAAAATCATGCATATTCATTTTTGCTTTAAATATATTAATACAATTGTAATTTAATTTAAGTTTTAATTTATTAATCACAAAACCCTTATGGTACAAATTAAAATATTTAATCACATCAGTAACTTAATTATTAATGAGAGGAACTATCTAAAATATCTTTATAATAAATATGTTCATCACACTTGTTAAGTCAATATCCTTCTGCTTTACCGAGATAAACTTTTCCTTCACATATAAAATCTTATTCAATAATAGTTGATTATTTTTAACTAAATTTAGCTAAGTGCCAGCTTTACATTTCAAGTCAATATTCTCCTGCTTTAGAGAGATCAACTCTTCCTTCATTCTTAAAATCTCATTCATTAATAGTTCATTATTTTCGGCCAAAATACTATTTTCCTTCATTACCTTCTTTTCATTCTCTCTCAGTTCTCTTATAACTTGATTATCACTTGATACATAGATTCCTGCAAAAAATATTTGTAATGTAATTGTGATCATAAAATAAATGCTTAATTAGCATGATAGCTTACCGCACTGTCCCCTGAATTTATGTTTTAGTATGTCCATTTGTGCTTTCATGTGCTGGGAATCTTTTTAGACTTTTCCTCTATTGAATTACAAGATATGCGTAATTTATCACAGTCCCGTCTAAATTAAAATTATAAAATAACTATCTAATTAACTGAATATTTATTTTTATTGGTAATGATTCAAAAACATGCTATTCGTTTTGTTTTATGAGAATTGAAATATTGCTCTAGTATCTGGAACATATATAAAATCATAATCTGTAGTGCTATAATCAATTCAATTCAAACTCTGTTAGCAAAAAACTTTGTGAATGAGATTGGACAGCTTTCACAATACTTACTTTAGTTTTGTTTTTTCCTTGTTATCACTTTCTAGTTTACTTTTTAATTTGTTACAATTCATTTGTAATGCTGATATTTCAGTATTGCTAATTTGCAGTTCCCTTTTAAATTTGTTGTTCAATTTCTAAAAAGCAGTAAGTGATAAGTAAGCTTTGTTTCTTTATATATATATATATATATATATATATATATATATATATATATATATATATTATTAGCGGTAATAAAACGGTGATGGAAATAATAAGCAAGGGAGGGGAAGAAAATTATTGTTTTTGTGATGCTCTCATACCATGGATCTTCCTTCCCATATATATATATATAATATATATATATATATATAATATATAAATATATTATATATATAAAAATATATATATAAAAAATATATATTATTTCACCACCTAAAGAAAAATCTCTCGCTTTATATATATATATATATATATATATATATATATATATATGTATGTATGTATATAAGCATGCATAATACCTGTAATACTTCATTTTGTTTCAATATTTCTTGATTGTCATTTTCAATTTTTTTTTTCTTAGACTCGAGATTACGATAAAGTGTTATCAATTCCCACATCACATTACACAACGAGACTGCTGGATTTTTTGAGCATTGTAATGACATAGAATTAATCCCGAATATGAGAAGTTCCTAAAAAAATTTTTATGTAATGCTACTTAATCATTTTTAATATAAAATTAAATACCTCATCCAGTGTAATTAGGTTTTCAGTCAAATTCTCTTCATCGCATTTCAAATTTTCCGATATAAATTGTGAATTGTTCTTCCTTTGTAATAAAGCATTTATTTCATCATTTACATCATCAATATCAATTTCTTTTTCATGCTTCGCCATAAATGAATAGAAATCCATTCTATAAATATACCAGGTTAATCAAAATAAAAGAAATTTATGCAATTTTTGGCTACTCTATTTAAAAAATAACAAATAATTATAAATTTACGGTTAGTACAATAATAATCCCTTTACACTCACTTTGTTGCAAGCAGTTCTGGTAATTTCTACAGTTTTAAAATTTCATAAGTTTACGTTCGGTCGGTACGAAAATAAATGTATTTTGGTATTTAAATAGAAGGGCGTACTCACTTAGCAGAAAACAAATCAACAAGTTGTCACCACCGTGTGACATACCTTTCTCTTATTGACGCGGTAGAGTTTGAGGGCGCAGCGGTCGCAGTCGTTCTGTTATAATTCATAAACTCATCATAATTAGATAATCAGATTATTTATTGTTCGAAATCGTATCGGATTGATTACTTGGCGTTGTTCTCATTAAATTATTATTTATTTGTTCATTAATTTGTTTTTGATAAACAAACTTTATCAGTGTATGCTTACTTATCTATGATGCTAGTATTCAACGAAAATTATAAATATAGTAAAACCACTTATTATCTATGAGTAAAACTACTCTTTTTTTATCTATGAGTAAAACCTCCTTATTAGCGGGGGGTATCAATAAATAATCCGCAAATACAGGATGGCATTTTACATGAAGTCATAGAGAAACTTTCCAAGGTGACTAAATAACCCGCAAATACAGGATGGCATTTTATATGAAATTGTAGGGGATATGTTTCAAGGTAACACAATAAAGAAAAATAAATATTGTTGACTATTATTCATTATGCAATATTTTAAGTATAACAGATCCCACATTAAAATTAGTTAGTAATAACTTTAGTATCAAATCTAACATCAAAAAAATGTCAATTTATAAAAGTTTTATATTAATGTTAGATGTGGTACTAAACTTATTACCAACTAACTTTAATATGAAATCTTTCAATCTTAAAATATTGCATATTCCCCAGCAATATATAAAACAAATATCGTTTTTAATTATAGTTTTTGTACATTTTGATTAATTTTGTTGCGGCTAAGGCAATGATTTGAAGAACTTTGTAATTTTATTTTGCTTCTTTAATTCAAACTGATACTCAGTCACATCAATAATTTGTCCCTTAAAAATAACACTTGATCAATGCCCATATAGAAATCGCACAGTTTATTTTTAATTCTTTACTCAGATTTTTCAAATTGTTTTTCTTTAGTGGGCTCTGAATGTGGATTTCATGGATTAAATTAAATTTAATTTTTATTATTATTATATGATGAAAAGGAAGAAATCGTAATAGTAATCATAGATAAATGAAAATAAATATCAAGTGATACACACAATTATTTAAGTGTATATAATAATATTCAAGTAAGTAAAATAACATAGTTAAAAGAGGAGTATAATAGTAATTAAGTGAAAACATCACATGATCGCAATATAAAAGTGTCTTGTCCCTACTAGACAATATTAGAATATACTTGTTTATCTATGATTAGAATCTTTTAGATTTAGAATTAGAATACTCTTCTTTTATCTATGATTAGAATACCCCGTGTTCATCTTGTCTTGTCTATATAAATCGTTTCTGATGGCTACGCTTAACTTTTGACATATGTTTACTGGGCTCGTTTCTTTTTTTGCAGGTTATGGATTTTGTTTTGAAATAATTTTACTTAAGTACGGATTGTAGGACGGATTGTACTAAAGTATTTCGACGTATTTTAAAATGACTAGCGAAGTAGATTTGGGTATTTTACTAGAATGCGAATCTTGGTTTTTAACCAGTAGATTTTTTCCAAGCAAAGTTGGAGGTAAACCAGCTTGGTTGTCTTTAAAAGATTTGCCTGACTCGGAAAGTTTACAATGTGATTCATGTAAAGAACCAACTATTCTTCTTTGCCAAGTAATGATTACAATAAATTATTATACGTATGCAGAATATGTAATTATAAATAATATTATTTATTATTAAAAAGGTGTATGCACCAATAGATGATCAACCAGAATGTTTTCATAGGACTATATTTGTATTTATTTGCACCAATGGGCTTTGTTGCAAAGTGAATGATGTTGGGTTTGTATATATTTTAACCAGATTAAACTTAAGTTTATAAGTTTAACTTAAGTTATATGTATGCATGTGCAACATCACATAAATCAAATACCGCATTATAAAAAAGTATACATATATTTTTTATAAAATATATTTTCAATTAAATTGTTTCTTACTTGAAGTAGTTAACTAGTATCATTGTTAATTTATATTGAGTGTGGTTCAAATTGTTTTGATTAAATATTTGGAAACACGAATTATATATTGTTTGGAAATTAAAATTTGACTTGAATAAATTTCCATTGTTTATTGCAGAAATTTGAAAGTGTTTCGGAGTCAGTTACCGAGAATCAATGATTTTTACTCTTCCAATCCTCCAGAAGAAATTGAAGAGGTATGCATTGTTTATTCCTTCTGTATTTTTTTTTTATTTACTATAAAAATTGTATTTATGTATGTGTGAATCAAATGAATAGGATGTCCCACTTGCTCTACCACCGTTATGTGCAGTTTGCGGAAGTTCAGGACGTTTTAAATGTGGCAATTGCCACTTATACAGGTACTGTAGCAAAATCCATCAGGTTGCTCATTGGAAGAGTGGACATAAATCACTGTGTAAAACCTTAAATCAGGTATGTGTTGTGCTTTACCTGCATAACTTATTTCACTATTAATAAAATATATGTGAAAATTTATAGGAAAACTCTAATCTAGCAGGGCTGCTTGCAGATACCTCTTTGGATGGCTTTTTGTTAAAGGAATGGTTATTAGATATAGATGCTGAACCTTCAGTAAGAACTTTATTAGATTCTGGCTGTCAATAACGTTATTTACATTATATATATATATATATATATATATATATATATATATATATATATATATATATATTAGGGTGGTCCTTAAAATGGTCATTTTTGAATTTCCTTGCTCCCAGGGGCCCAAATGGTTCCAAATTGATAAAAAACAATTCTTTGAAAGTTTTAGCTCTTAATATTAATGTTTAGATAGAGCACAATTCAATAAAACTTCATATGGAAAGAGCATGGAAAATTTTTTATATATATATATATATATATATATATATATGATAGTTTTTTCGACGTTGATACATATTTGTAATATTTTTGCAGCCCAACCGTCGAATTAAAAAAAGATTAAATAACAAAATTAGGAGAAATAGAAGGAGCACATATTGCCCTCCTATATTCAATGTTATTGATAGCATTGCATTGTGGACACTGCATTGTGCTCCTTCTATTTCTCATTTGTTAATATAATAGTATTTTATTATTTTACACAAATTTAGTGTTCAATCAATTTTACATCATAATTAATTTTTTCTGTTGTTTTTCCTGGTTTGATTACTGAATGATGACACACATCAAGTGTCGAAACGTTTAATGGAATAAATAATTTTGTTATTTAATCTTTTTTTTAATTCAACGGTTGGGCTGCAAAAATATTACATATATATATATATATATATATATATATATATATATATATAGTTGAGCGTTTTTGTTTTTGCGAATCACAGGAATTATACAGAATTACTTGTATGTGCAGATCATAGTGTTGTTTTTTATATTTGTATATATACTTTCTTAAAGGTTATGTCAAATTGTGATGAAACAGATGAATTAGAACGTAGAATGTCAGAATTCAAACTTATGGAAAAAAATAATGAGATTGGTACTATGGCTGATGTGCCTGATAAAGAACTAGAAAATTTTGCGATGGTTGGCGATAAAATGTTTATGAAGTTCAGTAAGCGAGTGTCTTTATATCCTGAACAGGTAAGAATGATAGAATACATAAATAATAACACACAATAGTGCATTCTATATTAGAGCTCTTGCAACAACGTTTTAAGTTTATTTTAATTTGGGTTTTTCTGCCTTCATATTGAATATAGAATAAACAAAATTTATTACTTTTACAAAAATGTGAATTCCTTTTTAATAATGGGTTTAGGTTATAAGGTTTAACCGTGGTGGTGAACCATTGTGGATATCTGATAAAAATACTATTGAACCTGAAGATGTGCCGCCTTGTCAATATTGTAATGGCCCAAGAGTCTTTGAATTTGAGGTATGTATCAAATTGTTGACTATTGAAAGAACTCTGGATTACATTGACAATCACCTTATATAATTTTGTATTGACTTATTGATGTAATTGTATAAACCAATTATTCTAGATTATGCCTCAGCTATTGAATAACATAAATGTTACCACTACTCGATGTAGCATTGATTGGGGTGTTCTTTGTATATATACTTGCAAAAAAAGCTGTGACATCGGAAGTGCTTACAAAAAGGAATTTATTCATAAACAAGATTTTATTGATAAATAATAACTAGCAAAAGTAATTATAGACAAGATTTATTTTGAATAAATTCATAAAAAAATATTTACAATTTTTCTTTAATATTACTAATAAATTAGTTCTTATGAAATTACACAGTTTAATCAAAAATAAGAGTTAACTTCAATAACCTATTCTATAATGTAAGATCTTTATTCATTCTCATTTGCTTCCTTTTATGATATTCTTCAACATTATTATATTGCTTCTTGAATAAACTAGCAGTAAAACTATGCAAATCTGCACATTTGTTTTGAGTTACTATTTCTTGAACCATAGGACATGCAACATTTTCAACTTTAATGTATAGCATTTTCTCTGGATCAAAACAATATTGAACTAAATAATTGTTTCCTAAGAAGTATAAGTTTTTTTCATACGAAGTGAATTTAGTTGCTTCTGCTGGTAATTTTATTGTTTGTAGAATATTACATTCCATAAAATTTGCAGCTGTAAATGATATGCTGCAAATGTTAACATCGCAAGATTTATACAATAAAGCAATTGCTATAATTTTTTCACCAATCACATTTACTTTCATTGATATTATAGCAGTTGATAATTTAACACAAAGAAGTTGTTGCCCTGTGAGATAATGCCATGCTCTTATAGTAGCATCACCTGATGCGGAAAATAATATATCTGGATGTTCAGTCAATATATCTAATGAAGATACAAATTCTTCATGTCCAAGACAATAAGCTACAATATTAAAAGTATCGGGATAAGCAGAAACTCTAATTTTCTCATCTCTATCACATGATATAATGCATCTGAAATTATATATTCCATTATTACAAAAAATTCTATATGTATATTGTATATTATATATTAGTCCATGAGCCTCTGCTTGTTTTTGAAAATCATGCTATCAATCAATATTGAATATGATCAGCCTATACAAAGGAAAGTCTTTATGATACTATTAGGTACCTTATAAAAGTTTCCACTATTAAAATTAGCAAACTTTGTAGATTAAGTTCCTGAACACCAAAGTTATAATAACTTATAATTTTCATATATAATATATAAAAGTGTGATTAAATTACATAACATATTACACTAATATTTAGATGCGAAAGTAAAATATTATAAAAGCGTCTGCTAAAGATATTTATCACAATTGTCAAATAAAGCATTGGCTTATGGTATAATAACTTGCTGCAATTATTACTTATCATCTGGTGTTAATAAGACATCTAGCAACATGCTAAGATGTCCCAAAATTAATTTTGGATGCCATTTATTTTTTTTTTCTGCAAGATACACATCTCCTGTTTTATCTGCTATAACTAACTTATTGCAATTTTCTGAAAATTTCATAGCACTGGCTGCTCTCGACATTGAATATGTTTCAATGCAATCATAAGAATCTGTTTTGAAATAAATGTGCAATACTTTTTGATCAGTCACAATTGCAAAGTATTCACATGTTTTTGAGAATGCTACCATGCAAATGTTTTCTTTGATTTTGGGATTTGACTGGACTATTTTTATATCTGTAGTAGTACTTTCAGCTAAATTGTGAATGAGAATCGTATCATTTACACCAATAAGTAAATTAGTGCGTTTCAATTCCAAAACAGCCATCTTTTATAGAATATCTAATGCACTACGTACTGTTATTCTAACTTATTCAAAGTGCTCATTAGCAACTTCCATTCCAAATGTCACTTATTTTAATAAATAGTTTAAACATAAAATTTACTATATTTAAATTATTTTATACATTATTTAAAAAAAATTAAAACGTAGATATATAAAATTGATAATGCAGTGATGGTATTTCGATGATAAAATAAATGATAGCCTATTTTCAATACACCTAAATAGAAGTCTACGCTAATATAACATAACCCCATACTCTTCTTTTATCTATGCATAACCCTAATTAGAACTTGACCCACGTGCGTCAAATGACAGTTTGATACGCTTCTATGTTATGTATCTATGTATGAAGCTATGAAGCAAATACGCAAATACGCGAAATCTCTTTCATAGATAAGTAAGCTCTCTTTTACCCACTTTTACCTATACTTTGAAGCATCGGTTGCATCGGTTCAAAAAACGTCAACCTAAAGTTTTTTGTCTACACTTTACCATTTTAAAATCTCTATGGGAAAACAAGTGTGACAATAAAATAAAATAAACCCCAAACTTCAAAAATGTTGATCATTTAGCAGTAAAAATAATGTTGAGCATTGTTCGTGCGAGAACTAAATAATCTTAGATAATTAAAACATTGAGGAAGTAACATGATTTGTTAATTGAATTGTATTTATATAAGCTAAAATAGCAGTGATATCTTATTGTTGTTTAAAATGCCAGTAAATATATAACATTTCAGCAGAAGTTTTTTCACGAAACGTCAAGATGTTATTACTCAATTCGTACAAAAATTTATTAGCAAACATTCATAAGTTGCAATATTCTTCATTTACTGCGAAAGTACTTATCGATTCTTATAGGATACCTTTGCCGTTACAATGTAATCATTTTTGCCCTGGCAAAGTCAATAACTCGTTTCGAAATCTTAATAACCGATTATTTCTTAGTAATCAGTGGCGTCATTTGTGCAATGAGGTAAAGGCTGTAAATAAGTTAGTTATAACTTCTCCATATTTACGTCATACGCGGAATTTTCATATGAGCAGTCAAAGATATAAAAATGAAGGGCAGAAAGATTCCAATAAACAAGACGACGAAAAGAATAAAATGAAGTCAGTTCTAGCAAAGGCTTTTCTATGGATGCTCACAGGGTATATGGTAATAGCAATTCTGTCTACCATATTTCCCAACAAACAACGTGATCAACTTGTTCGATACATATCTTGGAATGAGTTTTATCATCATATGCTATCCAGAGGTGAAGTTGAACAAATTATTGTTCGACCTGATTTAGATGTTGTTACAATAATACTTCATGAAGGCGCCGTCATAAAAGGAAGGCGTTTAGAAACTAGAACATTTCACATGAGTGTAATTGATCCTCAGAAATTCGAAGACAAGCTCAGAAATGCAGAGGCTTCGTTAGGAATAAAAGAAGGTATACCAATCACGTATGAAAGAAATGCTGATTTGCCTGGTAAATTGTTCATAACAATATTAATTGGTGCTGTTATATTATCTCTTTTATCCAGAGGTAAGACTTTTAAACCTCCTACGATGGACACCTTCACTCAAATGGGGAGAGCCAAATTCACTTTAGTAGATCCTGTTAATACAACTGGAAAAGGTGTGTTATTTAAAGATGTAGCAGGATTGCAAGAAGCAAAGCAGGAAGTTATGGAATTTGTAGATTACTTGAAAAATCCTGAACGATACAAAACATTAGGAGCTAAGGTGCCAAAAGGTGCACTGCTTCTTGGACCTCCTGGATGTGGTAAAACTATGCTTGCTAAAGCAGTAGCAACTGAAGCGCAGGTACCGTTTCTCTCTATGAATGGTTCAGAATTTATAGAAATGATTGGTGGTCTAGGGGCTGCCAGAGTACGAGACTTGTTCAAAGAAGCTGCTAAAAGAGCTCCATGTATTATATATATTGATGAAATTGATGCAATAGGCCGCCAAAGGGGAGGCGATATGCCAAGCGGAGGCACTGGCGGCCCAGGATCAGGAGAGTCTGAACAAACCTTGAATCAATTGTTAGTTGAAATGGATGGCATGGCTAGTACTGAAGGTGTGCTAATGTTGGCTTCGACAAATAGAGCTGATGTTTTAGATAAAGCACTTCTGCGTCCTGGTCGATTTGATAGACATATTGTGATAGATCTTCCAAATTTAGCTGAACGTAAAGAAATTTTTGTACGCCACCTCTCACCAATAACATTAGAGAAAACTCCAGAATTTTATGCTCCGCGCTTAGCTCCATTAACACCAGGGTTTTCAGGTGCAGATATTGCTAATGTTTGCAATGAAGCTGCATTACATGCTGCTAAAAATAAAGAAACACAAGTTACAGCACAAGATTTAGAGTATGCAGTTGAAAGAGTTGTAGGTGGTACTGAAAAGAGAACACATGCCATGTCTCCTGGTGAGAGAAAAACAGTTGCGTATCATGAAGCAGGACATGCATTAGTAGGATGGCTGCTAAAACATACTGATGCACTGTTAAAAATTACTATAGTACCTCGTACCAACCTAGCCTTAGGATTTGCAATGTATACACCTACTGATCAAAAGTTATTTTCAAAAGAAGAATTATTTGAAAGAATGTGCATGGCTTTAGGAGGACGAGTTGCAGAGTCATTAACATTTAACAAAATCACTACTGGTGCTCAGAATGACTTAGAAAAAGTAACAAAAATGGCTTATGCACAAGTCCAACAGTATGGAATGTCTGAAGCTGTAGGTTTGGTTAGTTTCCCAGAAAAGGATGATGGGGCTATGTTTCAAGGTAAAAAGCCATATAGTAAAACATTAGCGACTTTGATCGATTGTGAAGTTAACAATTTAGTTACCAAAGCATATCTTAAAACAGAAGAAGTGCTCAAGGCGAATAAAGATAAATTAGAATTACTTGCTGAAACACTATTAAAACAAGAAACTTTAAATTACGCAGATGTAGAGAAATTAATTGGGCCACCACCATATGGTCCTAAGAAACTTATAACGCCTGATGAATTCGATGATGTCACACCACTAAATAAGAAAGAAAACACTGATGAAAAAGAATCTAAAGTGTAAACATAATGTATATTTTCCTAAAGTAATTATGAATGCCTATCAGAGTTGTTTTGTGTATTAAAATAATAATATATTTATTTAAGTTTTATACATTGCTAATATTATTTCATTGTTTTTCACAGCCTACCATGATTGTTAGGCAGATTATTGCATAAACTAATATTTAACACAAATACAATTAAAATTATGAAGATATATCAAGCTTTGAAATATGAGTATAGAGGAATGCAAGAAATAAGAACTACATATTTCAATTCAAGTGTGAATATAAATTACATAACTATAAATAAAACTACATAATAATAAAATTACACTTATGTTTTTAAAGTCTCATTTTTATTGTCTCTTCACATAGATACTCAACTTGGTTTGTGTATAAATCTGCCATTGTTTACAATTAAGAAAACGAGCTAAATACTATGTGAAATAGAGTTATGCATTTCAATATGCCTACGAATCTCAAATTGTATGCCCGAAATTGAGACAATAAAAATATCAAGGTAAGGGTCCTTAATAAATATCAAAGTAATTATTTTGCTTTACGATTCCACTAGGCAATCAGATGACCAGACAATTCATGAATAAACAAATGTCAATAAAATAATGATTTAAAGAATTTTACTCATAAATGTTAGATTGTAAAAATTTTGGTCGACCAGGTGATCAAATCAATATTTTTTGCAGTGTTGACCAAAGCAAAAAGGAAAATTTGAGAATAAAATCAATTTTATAATTCTTTTTTAAAAGAAAAAAAAAACAATTCTTTGATTATCTTATTATTATATTATTTATATGGAAATAATGCTCTAAACTTTTAATCCGATACAACTCCGCGCGGATTCATTCAGCGGGAGAAGTTATATCCTGGAACTTACTCTGGAGCTACCCCACTCTAATATGAAACAAAGTTTAGGTAGCAGATTCTTCTTCATCAATTTTATTGGATATTATGATCTTTTCTAAGTTTTCTATTGCTTTATTCAATTTACTTTGATTTTTCTCAATATCACAAAGTTTTTCCAATATTCTTATTTCTAGATCAGCAAATTTGTTATCCATATACTCTTTCATAGACCTTAATAAAAGTGTTGCTGTGTTCATTGTGAGCAACTGACCTTCCATACAATGTGAACTATTAATGGATTCAGGCATTTTAATATGAGCGTTTTTATCCGAGCGTGCCTCCAGATTCTGATCGAGACCATCTGATTTATTATTTACCTTGGCGGTTAGTCGGAGTCCATAAATCCATAAACTTTGAGGTGTTGCAATATTAATGAACTAAAATTATAAATTATATAGCAAAAATAAGCATTTATTTTATTATGCAATTTAAGAAAAAATCATAAGAGGTTACATGAAAATTTGATTTGTTGATCACCTTTAGCATACATTGCAGAATTGGTTCTTTAAAATTTACTTTAACTTCATAAATAAGAGTATCTTCAAATTCATCATATAATTCTGCTTTGAATGTATCATAATATTCATACAATGGTCCAGTATAAATTTCTACATATTTTGAACCAGATACAAGATGTAAAGAATAAAACTTCTGAGATGGTGATATTGAATTTAGAGTCAAAGTACATGTTTCATTTGTATTTTGCTCAAGTTGAATACAGGATTCCATACAAACTGTTGAATCTACTGAAACACTAAATTTATTTTTGATATGAGAAAAGTGTATTTTAAAATATTATTATATATTCTTACTCTTCAACTAGCTCACAATCGCCATATGTTTTTACAGATATTGTATCATAAATAGTTTTGTCATTCGAAACAGCCCAATTTGATACCACTCTTATCTTTAGATTATCCTGATTTTTTATATTTGCGCTAGCCATTTCAATACACCAGATAAATACTAAATTTCAATGAATTTTAAATCTGAAGTGTTAATATTATTATTTAGCATTTATATATTATTATATATTATATATTATTACATAAACGATTGAATTTCTATTGAAAGGCAAATCCATGAATAAAATCAAAATAACTTTATTTACTATAATACGCAATAACCTTAAATCAAAGGACCCAATATACTATAATAATGGACCCAATAGACCTAATCTATAATAATGGACCTATTGGACCTAATGACCTAATCAATTGTATAGGGAACAAATACAAATCAAATGTCAAAGTGACAAGCAAAGTGAGCAAAGTCAGCAACATAGATAAATAAGTATAAATAGATGGCAAACACGGCCGCTTTAATATTACATCAATTGTAATTCTTTGAGCATTCAATAGATGCCGCTACCAACCGCAGCACGTAAATTTACCATTTAGTTTAATTCTAGATAAGATTTATTTGAAAATATAATATAGAAAAGATAAACCTGATTAATTCGATTAAATGAAATGAAAATATTATATATGCCCACAAAATATACCTTCAACAAACTTTTTTTTTTCATTCAAAAACTATATATTTCAATAAATAAAATTGGTATAAATTATTAAAAAAGATATATTTTTAACTTCCCGTTGGGTAAGTTATAGTAATCGCAAAAAAATCGAAAATGAAAATTTTTATTTCAGAGGTTTCTGAATATTTTGGCATACCTTAGAAAAGGGATGTATGTGTGTGTGTGCGTGTGTCTATGTGTGTGCGAACACAAATTTTTGTCGATGATTTCGGTAACACCGATGAAGCGATTTGAATAATTCAAAAAACATTCGATTCGTATTGATGAGGAGACGTGCTGATTAGTTTTTGGCGAAGGCAGGTCTAGCCGTTCCGAAGATATAGGGCGAAAACTGCTAAAAACCGTAACTCAGTTTTTAAGAGAACGGAGCGTCCCAAGGTGAAGAACTGATCAAATTTTCATGAAGGCAGGGTTAGTGGTTTCGGAGATCTAGTAAAAAAAAATGCCATCTGGCGGTCAAAAATGATCATTAGACATATGCACATCAAATTATCAGATATTTTATAGAGATTTTAACAATAAGTATAAATTTTGTTTACATTCCTATGGGTTCCGTACCAATGCTTATCCGTTAGACGGCAGCGCGGCGCTTACCCGCTTCGATATTTGTCTCTACGCAGTTAAAGCAGTACGATTGCTTTGAAAAAAAGTTCAGAATTTTCAAAATACATTTTTCATACTTTTTTCTTTTTTTTTGTTTGATAATGAGAGGGGGTTTATTTTTAGAATCACGTACTCTGCCGCACATGGTCGAAGCGACACGAAAATTTCAATGGTTTGCGATCTCGGCGCTCGCTCCCGCCGCGAGCAACCCGACGCATCGGGCTGCCGAGAATACCCTAACCGACACTAATGGATTAGCGTCAAAGCGCGGATAAAAAATGTAAATAAGTAAGCAGTCATTAAAATTGATGTACTAATTATAATTTTATCTATTAGTATAGGAAATACATCGGTAATTAAGTTATAGAGATACTGAAATATATGTATATCCAACTAAAATATATTTTGGTAGACTTTATTTATCATATTTCAGAGTTAATTTTATATCATCATGATATTATCATGTATATATTTATATATATATATCATGTATATTATATATATATATATATATATATATATCATGATATTATCATGTATATATATATTATATATATATATATTCGTGGCGGCGCTAGACCATTCGTCGGCATCGGCGAAATTCGTTTGCGAGGACCCCTTTTTAGGGCAATTACTAAAACTTTCCGTGCCGTAATTTAAATGTTAAAAAAAAATTTGAAAACCTTGAAAAAAAAATTAACTTTTTTTCTAAATTTCTAAATGAAAATTTTTTGACCAAAAATTATTTGCACCGTACCTAATTATTTGTTATATATATTCCATTTCTAACTCTCGATGTGGTGCTGTACTGATGATAAGTTATATATTTTTTACAACTCGTAACGCACGCTGTGCAAGAACTGCCTGCACAGTTGATAATTAACCCTTTCGACTCGGATGCCGCCGCTCCGGCGGCATAGTCATTTTACCGTTGTGCTCGGATGCCGCCGGTCCGGCGACGACTCGTCGCAAACTAAACTTACATTTAATTTTTTTTTATTTTTTAAAAATTAATTTGCTATTACATTCATTTATTGATTGATTTATTAATTTTATAAATAAGTATATAACAAAATGAATTTATTAGCTCATGATCCCCATAACTCTAATAAAGATCTGTGAAGAAATAATTTTTTAAACAATATAGCATGGTTTTGAGTGCAATTTTTTTTAATTTTCAAAATTTTCTATTTTATTATCATAATAACTATATTTAAAAGCAATATAACCACATTTTGAAAAAATCCGATACAAAAAAAAAATCCGAGTTGAGAGATAAGTGTAGCACTATAATATTCCGAGCGCAGCGTACCGACTGGCAGTCCGACTCCCGAGTCGAAAGTGTTAAATTCCTTTTATTGCTTCTATCGTACGGGAGGCCCTTGTGCGGGTATCCGCATCGCCGCCCCGGTTGCTTGTTCAGCGACATTTCTGTCGACCTTTAGGGCTTGCGGTGGGTGAGGCATACATTTTTTTTTGTTTTTTGGGGGTATACGAACAACGATACGGATCTGACTAACATTTTCCTAGCTACCAAAATTCCTACTGAAAGACTTCCTACTAAATAATTCCTACTGAAATACTCCAAAATTCTTTTAACCAAAAATTTTTTTTCCAAAATTTTTTTAACAAAATTTTTTCGAACAAAATTTTTTTGACCAAAATTTTTTTGACCAAAATTTTTTTGACCAAAATTTATTTGACCAAAATTTTTTTTCCAAAAATTTTTTTGTCCAAAATTTTTTTTCCAAAATTTTTTGGGCCAAATTTTTTTGACCAAAATTTTTTGGGCCAAAATTTTTTTGACTAAAATTTTTTGGACTAAAATTTCATGGACCAAAATTTTTTTCCCAAGATTTTTTAAGCCAAATTTTTTTTGACCAAAATTTTTTTCACAACATTTTTCGGGCCAAATTTTTTTGACCAAAATTTTTTTGACCAAAATTTTTTTTGATCAAAATTTTTTGGACCAAAATTTTTTTGACCAAAATTTTTTTTCCAAAATTTTTATGACCAATTTTTTTGGGCCAAATTTTTTTTGACTAAGATTTTTTGGACCAAAATTTTTTTTCCAAAATTTTTATGACCAATTTTTTGGGGCCAAATTTTTTTTGACTAAGATTTTTTGGACCAAAATTTTTTTCGAAAATTTTTTTGACCAAAATTTTTTTGACTAAGATTTTTTGGACCAAAATTTTTTTGACCAAAATTTTTTGGGCCAAAATTTTACTGCCCAAAATTTTTTTTCCAAAATTTTTTGACCAAAATTTTTTGGGCCAAAATTTTTTTGACTAAAATTTTTTGGACCAAAATTTTTTTGACCAAAATTTTTTTGACCAAAATTTTTTTCCCAAGATTTTTTGGGCCAAATTTTTTTGACCAAAATTTTTTTCCCAAGATTTTTTGGGCCAAATTTTTTTGACAAAAATTTTTTGGACCAAAGTTTTTTTCCCCAAGATTTTTTGGGCCAAATTTTTTTTGACTAAAATTTTTTTGACCAAGAATTTTTTTGACCCAAAATTTTTTTCCAAGATTTTTCGGGCCAATTTTTTTTTGACCAAAATTTTTTTGACCAAAAATTTTTTTGATCCAAATTTTTTGGGCCAAATTTTTTTTGACTAAAAATTTTTTTGACAAAAAATTTTTTGGGCCAAAATTTTTTGGAGCAAAATTTTTTTGACCAAAATTTTTTTGACCAAAATTTTTTTGACCAAAATTTTTTTGATCCAAATTTTTTGGACCAAAATTTTTTTGACCAAAATTTTTTTTTCAAAATTTTTATGACCAATTTTTTTGGGCCAAAATTTTTTTGACATATTTTTTGGGCCAAAATTTTTTGGACCAAAATTTTTTTGACCAAAATTTTTTTGACCAAAAATTTTTTTGATCCAAATTTTTTGGACCAAAATTTTTTTGACCAAAATTTTTTTTCCAAAATTTTTATGACCAATTTTTTTGAACTAAGATTTTTTGGGCCAAATTTTTTTGACCAAAATTTTTTGGGCCAGAATTTTTTTGACTAAGATTTTTTGGACCAAAATTTTTTTCAAAATTTTTTTTGACCAAATTTTTTTTGACCAAAATTTTTTTGACTAAGATTTTTTGGACCAAAATTTGTTTTCCAAGATTTTTTGGGCCAAATTTTTTTTCCAAGATTTTTTGGGCCAAATTTTTTTTGACCAAAAATTTTTTGGGCCATAATTTTACTGACCAAAATTTTTTTTCCAAAATTTTTTAGGCCAAATTTTTTTGACCAAAATTTTTTGGGCCAAAATTTTTTTGACTAAAATTTTTTGGACTAAAATTTCTTGGACCAAAATTTTTTTCCCAAGATTTTTTGGGCCAAATTTTTTTTGACCAAAATTTTTTTCCCAAGATTTTTCGGGCCAAATTTTTTTGACAAAAATTTTTTGGACCAAAGTTTTTTTCCTCAAGATTTTTTGGGCCAAATTTTTTTTGACCAAAATTTTTTTGACCAAGAATTTTTTTGACCCAAAATTTGTTTCCAAGATTTTTTGGGCCAATTTTTTTTTGACCAAAATTTTTTGACCAAAAATTTTTTTGATCCAATTTTTTTGGGCCAAATTTTTTTTGACCAAAAATTTTTTTGACGAAAAATTTTTTGGGCCAAAATTTTTTGGACCAAAATTTTTTTGACCAAAATTTTTTTGACCAAAAATTTTTTTGATCCAAATTTTTTGGACCAAAATTTTTTTTCCAAAATTTTTATGACCAATTTTTTTGGGCCAAATTTTTTTTGACTAAGATTTTTTGGACCAAAATTTTTGACCAAAATTTTTTTCCCAAAATTTTTATGACCAATTTTTTTGGGCCAAATTTTTTTTGACTAAGATTTTTTGGACCAAAATTTTTTTGACCAAAATTTTTTTCGAAAATTTTTTTGACCAAAATTTTTTTGACCAAAATTTTTTTGACTAAGATTTTTTGGACCAAAATTTTTTTGACCAAAATTTTTTGGGCCGAAATTTTACTGCTCAAATTTTTTTTTCCAAAATTTTTTGGGCC